TCCCGCGGCGGGGTATTAGCAAGCGGCTGGCTGCGTGCTTCATCGCTGGCCAGTGCCAGCCCACTGCAGCGGGGGAGTGGTGCCCTTTGTTTTTTGCTGTTGTCTTCAGCTTAGCCTTTGGGGATGCCCCTGGCGGGGAGCACACAGCAGCTCCCTCTGGCTGCAGAGAAATGGGATGAATTAGCTCTGGGGAAGCCTTCACCGAGAGCAACTGGGGGCCCCAGTTCCCACCTCCGCCTCCGGAGCCACGTCTGCACCGTGCCGTGTCTGGTGTAGCCGAAGCTCTTGAGATGCCGAATCCGTGTCTTGGACCGTGACCTTCTACTGTGTAGAAGTGACCTTCGGCATGGGGCGGCACGGGGCCAGGCAGCGTGCCGCGACGCAGGTGGCACGCCGGAGGGGTGGCTGTGCCACCCATCCCTGCCACTGCAAGGCCACAGGGTGTCCCCGGGGGTGCCTGCCCCAGCAGATAGTCACACCCTGCTACGGCTGCCAGGAGACTCCGTGCTGACCCCTGTGAGGACAACCATCGCGGGGCGGCCACGGGGCCCACAGCGGTGGCCATGATGACCTCCTATGTGTCCCCAGCCGCCCTTTGAAGTGGAGCTCTCCAAGATCTCCATTTTCAGGAGTGAGCTCAACCACACGCTCAACAACCTGGGCACCTGGATGAAGGACGAGCACGTGGAGAAGAACTGGGTACGGGGCAGCGGCTGGCCGGGGATGCGCAGGATGGGAGGCGGGCGTCTCTCACGCCACCCTACCCTCCGCAGGTGACGCAGCTGGACTCGGCCTTCATCCGCAAGGACCCCTACGGGGTGGTGCTTATCATCGCGCCCTGGAACTACCCCATTCACCTCCTCCTGGTGCCCCTCATCAGGGCCATCGCGGCCGGTGAGGCTGGGCTGCGTCCCTGCCGTGCTGGGGGGTACCAGCACCTCACTGGGGGGTTTCCCGTGTCCTCCCTGGGGCGGGAACGGGAAGTGGGAATGGTTACGGTGGTGGGGCTGCACTGGGGACAGGTCTTCTGCTCCCCAAGAGCAAGGTCCTTACCAGGAGGAAGCTCTTGTCCTGCAGGTAACTGTGTTGTCATGAAACCCTCCGAAATCAGCAGAAACGTGGAGAGGCTAGTGGCCGAGACGCTGCCCAGGTACTTGGACAAGGAGAGCCCTCTGCTGCGGCCACCTCCCTCTCTAGGGACACCTGCCCCGCTGCGTCCCAAACCTGCTCGGCCCAGCCACGTCCCCCCATGCGCTCTCTCTGCTCCTGCCCGGCTCTGCTGCCACACTTCCCACCCCCCCCTCTCGCAGGACTGCTTTGCCGTGGTGACCGCTGGCGTGAAGGAGACCACCAGGCTGCTGGAGAACAAGTTCGACCACATCTTCTTCACCGGTACGTCCCACAGGGACGCTCCAGTTCCATCCCTCTCTTTGAGGCTGCCCCAGCGAGCCCGGCATGGATCCGGTGGGAGGTCTTGACCACGCTGGGCTCGTGCTGCTTCCCCTGCCCACAGGCAGCCCCTCCGTCGGGAGGATCGTGATGGCGGGGTCTGG